GGGGGGGGGAAGACAAAATTACATAGACATTTTTAGGCTAACTATAATATATTGAATAATTCTCAATTTATAGGATGACATGTTTCTGGGTTTTGAATAGGTATGACATGTTGTCACAAACTAAGACCGTTTACTTTATATCTTGAAATTCGATTAATTCGATCATGTTTGTCAATACAATGATAATGTGTTTCAGTTTTTACAACATAGCCATAGGAAAATAACAACACGCTGAAGCGAAGGCAACCAAGTTCAAATTTGGCATTTTGGCAAATGTGTTACTGCATTACTACAGAAAACTAAAAATGAAACTAAACGTATTTCTTCTATAAACATGATAGTGCCTTAGCTGATATGGTGGTATAAGTACTAAATACCATAAACACGATATATATACCGTATAAGAATTACTTAACCAATTCAATTATTTTCAATCAATGTCATTATTAGTCAATGAATAATTTTGTGAATACTGCATCGGTAAAGACAAGTAGATTTTTAGTGCTCTTTATAATAAAATTAAACGGCTTGATTATAAAAAAAACATAGTTTATGAATGTCATTTAACAAAAACAAGTTTTGACAATACTATAATAATTAGAATAACCACCACGGTGATTACGTTTTTTAAAACAATGAGTTGAAGGATTAACACTGAAAATGCAAAATATGCATGGTGTGCTGTGAAGCGTCATAAGTCCTATTGATCTACTGTAAGCCCTTTCGATACTTGTAATTGTAAATTTGTATTCTTACAGGGCTTGAAATAACTTTCCCAAAATTCCCGATCATGGTGATCGGCAGTCATGACTTTCCCAGCTTTTTTTCAGGTTGGAAACCCTTCTTTTCCGCCGATCATAAGCAATTTCTTGCCGATCATTGATCGATGATCGGCTGTTATTTCAAGCTCTGTCTTAACAATTTTGAATTGATACTGATTTCAAATTATTAACTCAAGTAATAATTATCCCATGCAACTGTTAAAAAGGGTGAAATTTTTAACGGAGGAAGAAAATCCTAAAGGAATAGTGACGTTTCAAAAGGGGAGTGAATTTCCTAAAAGGGGGCAAATTTCCTAGGAATTTCGCCCCCCGGGAAGGCGATATTACTAGGAATTTCGCGCCGCCCCCCCCCCGGGGGGGGCGAAATCGTAGGGGGGGGGACGAAATTCCTGAAAAAAATTGAAAATTAGCCTATTTTTAGGTCAAGCCGGCTGCACAAGAAATATTTTTGTAAAATTTCACTTCTTGTTCTCGTAGGGATTAATGCAAACATTTTAGTCTATTGCCGTTTTCTCAGAAGATTCAGTTTTAGAAGAACACTAGCACAGAAAAGATATAGAGCAGAAGGGTTATTCAGGGGTACAAAGTATGCCAGATTCTCGGCCGACTTCCGGTGTGGCCGCCATGTTGAAAGAAAGCCTCCAGAGTAAATTTTACTGGAGTTAGGGCCGGCTATTTATATGGTCCCACTTACCCGGGTTTCAATGATGTGTGACATATTTTGAGCAATTGAAATACGTGTTTTAGCCCTAAACAAAACTAAGATAACTTTAAATATTGTTTACATGTAAACGAAATTAGGAATGCGCCGCAAGTTATATAGTGGAAGAAGATTAATGACATTCAACAACAAATGTTTTTTTAAGCCGGACAATATAAACAGCCCTTAATATGTCGGAAAACGAAATGCAACCACTAAAAACGCTGTAGCTGCAAGTATATTTGGGCGTTTCTCATTTTACTTTGACATATATGTTAAAGCGAAGGCAGGCGATTGATTTAATTGTTGCTAGAAAGGAAATCAACAAGTTTTATAGTCAGATATTGCCGTAGTAAGGCGATTGTAGGGCCCCTGCCCTTAGTTGTATGATTACGCAAGAATCACGCGTGGGACACTCGCGAGACAATATATAGATTAACAGTTGCTTCGAGCACATGTAAAACGAGAGTTTATATAGTTCACATTTTGTTAGTAATAAGATATATATCTTTTGCAATCGTTATGTTCCATACGTGAATGGGAAATAGGAGTAACATTTTGGCGCCCAACGTGGGGCTGCCAACTGGTTTAGGGATGGAATTAAAGCCGATTTTGGTGGAAATATAAGCGACATTATGCAAGACGATACGAAAGGGTTTTGACTCTGCTGTATTTGGTTATACTATG